CAGGGGGCCTCCTATGGCCCTCTTGGAGCTCCCTTGGGGCCCCTGTGGGACCCTCTGGGGCCCCTCTTGGCCGTCTTGGGGCTATCTTGGGCCGTCTGAGCCCTGTTGGGCCGTCTTGGGGCTCTCTTGGGGGCCTTTTGGGCCATCGGGTGCCCCGTGGGGCTATCTTAGGCGCGCCCCTGGTCGTCTGTGGGGCGCGCTGCACGCCGTCTTGGAGCCAACTTGGGCGCCTCGGGGCTCTGTTGGGCCGTTTCGGGGCTGTCTTGGAAGCCTCTCGGGCCGTCTTGGGGGGGATCTCGGAAGCCTCTTAGGCCGCTGTGGAATGCAGAATGTCCGGAATGACGAGAACGTCAAAATCTGTCACAAGCCTTCGGAAAGGCGTTGATTTGTGCATGTCGCGGCGCTCTTGGGAGTCTTGTGGGCCCGTTTGGGGCCGCTTGCGAGACGTCCTCAGGCGTCTTCGGCCGTCGGGAAGCCATGAAAAGCGTTTCAGCCGATAGTTCGGCGCGCGGGCGGCTTGCTGGAAAAGCTTGGAAGCCCGTTCGAAAGGTACCCCGGGGCCGGGGAGGACCGTCGATAAAGGTATGGGGGGGGCCCATCCGGGGCGAGGGCCCATGCAGGATTTAAGATTATAGGGATATATTTGTACATATGAATACATGCACATACGTACGTGTATACATATATATATATATATATATATATATATATATATATATAGGTGTGCATATGCAAACATAGGTACATCTGTACCTTAGATATACAGATGCGTACATGTCTATCTGTGAAAATGAAAATCGGAGGTGAAGGGGTGAGATCGAAATGGAACGGAGAGCCCCCCTACCGGGAAATCGGTTTCGGTTTCGTGTTCGTGCGTACCGTGCGTGCGGGCGAGGCGAAGCTGCGTGGGCGGGCGAAAGAAAGTCTCCTGTGGCTGAGGCGCGGCCGGACCAAATGATTCCCTTCCGGGCGGCCGGGGCCCCGCGGTGTCCCACCGGTGTCCCGCTGGTGTCCCGTGTGGCTGAGGCGCGGCCGGACCAAATGATTCCCTTCCGGGCGGCCGGGGCCCCGCGGTGTCCCGCTGGTGTCCCGCCGGTGTCCCGTCCGTGTCCCGTCGGTGTCCCGATGATGATGTTTGATGATGATTGATGATGATGATGATGGATGATGATGATGATGATGATGATGAGATGATGATGATGATGATGATGATGATGATGATGATGATGATGATGATGATGATGATGATGATGATGATGATGATGATGATGATGATGATGATGATGATGATGATGATGATGATGATGATGATGATGATGATGACGTCGATTGCGAGATCGATTGTGATATCGGTAGTGAGACCGAATGTGAGATCGATAATGAAATTGGTAGTGAGTTTGATAGTGAGACCGATAGTCATATCGAATGTGAGATCGATTGTGAGATTGATTGTGATATCGATTGTGAGATCAATAGCGAGACCGAATGTGAGATCGATTGTAAGATCGATTGTGAAATCGATTGTGAAATCGATAGTCAGATCGATTGTGAGATCGATCGGTCGAGGTCGATTGTGAGATCGGTAGTGAGTTCGATAGTGAGATCGATCGAGTGCGACGTTGCCCCCCCCCCTCGCCTCCTTATCACCCGAAGGGTGGTCGTATAGGTGTAGTTATGGCAGCGGATATAAGCCCAATCAATGTCGTTTTAGGGCTATAGGGCTATGGGGCTATTGGGCTATAGGGCGGGGCATGGGGCTATCTATAGGGCTATGGGGCTATCGGAAATTGGGGGGTGAGATCCAAGTGGAACGGAGAGCCCCCCACCGGGAAATCGGTTTCGGTTTCGTGTTCGTGCGTGCCGTGCGTGCGGGCGAAGCGAAGCTGCGTGGGCGGGTGAGAGGAAGATCCAGACCAAATGATTCTCCCTCCGGCAAGTGGCCCGCCGGTGTCCCGCCGTTGTCCTGCCAGTGTCCCGCTTGTGCGCTTGTGGCTGGGTCCCGGCCGGACCAAATGATTCTCCCTCCGGCAAGCGGTGGCCCGCGATGTCCCGCCGGTGTCCCGCCGGTGTCCCGGTGCCCCGCTGGTGCGAAAACGATAGTGAGACCGATGACGAAATCGATTGTGAGATCGATAGTGAGATCGATAGTGAGACCGATAGTGAGATCGATCGTGAGATCGATAGTGAGATCGAAAGTGAGCTGAATAGTGATATCGATTGTGAGATCGAGTGAGATCGATAGTTGGATCGATAGCGAGATCCAGAGTGAGATCGACAGTGAAATCAATCGAGTGAGATCGATAGTGAGAGCGATCGAGTGAGATCGCTAGTGGGATCGATGGTCCCAAGAGCGAGCGGCAACGCAACAATTGCCCATTGCTGGGCCCCCTCCCCACCCAACCTCCTTATCACCCGCAGGGTGGTCGTATAAGTAGGGATATAGGGCCACAGGGCCATTGGTATACAGGCTGTAGGCTGTAGGGCTATAGGGCTATGGGGACCATGGAGGCCTCGAAATGGCTCTCAGATCGCCCGGGAAAGCCCAGGAAGCCTCCAAGACGTCCCAAGAGTGCCCAAGAGCACCCAAGAGCGCCCTGAAATAGCCGCGAGAGGCGATCTGTCGATGGCCTCAAGGACAGGCCTCCAAGAGGGCTCCCAAAACTACCGAAATGGGCCCAAGATAGTTCCTACCAAAATGGAGCCAAGATAACTCCAAGATAGCTCAAACTAAAAACCTTCAAAAGGCTTCCAAGAAGCTTACAAGGAGACTTTTAGAGCGAAGGGTCCGCGAAGGTCTTCATGGCTGACTCCTGCAGTCATGGTCCTCTTCCTCGTCCTTATGAGGGCCGTCGTCGTCGCCCCCATTCCGCCACAATTCTCCTCCTCCTCCTCCTCCTCCTGCTCTGGGGCTACGCGGCTATAGGGCTATGGGGCTATAGGGCCATGGGGCTATGAGCCTGTGGGGCTATAGGGCTATAGGACCATACGGCTATAAGGCTGTAGGGGTATCGGAGGTTGGGTGGTGAGTCCGCCGTGAAACGGAGACCTCCCCTACCAGGAAATCGATTTCGTTTTCGGGTTCGTGTCGTGCGCGCGGTGCGCGCGTGCGGGCGAGGCGAAGCTGCGTGGGCGGGCGAGAAGAAATCCTCCTGTGGCGGGGCCGCGGCCGGACCAAATGTAACTCCTCCGGCGGCCGGTGCCCCGCGGTGTCCCGCCGGTGTCCCGCGTGTGTTCCGAAATCCTCCTGTGGCTGAGCCGCGGCCCGACCAAATGTAACTCCTCCGGCGGCCGGTGCCCCGCGGTGTCCCGCCGGTGTCCCGCGGTGTCTTGTGGTGGCCCGTGATGGCCCGTTGAGTGAGATCGATAGTGAGATCGATACTGAGATCGATGTGGTATCCCGTGGTGTCCCGTGGTGTCCCGTTGAGTAAGATCGATAATGGATCGATAAAGAGACCGATAGTGACATCGAGAGGTGTCCCGTGGTGTCTCGTGATGTCCCGTTGTGTCCCGTGGTGTTCAGTTGAGTGAGATCGATAGTGAGAGCGATAGTGAGATCGACAAGTGTCCCGCGGTGTCCCGTGGTGGCCCGTGGTGTCCCGTGGTGTCCCGTTGAGTGAGATCGATAGTGAGATCGATAGTAAGATCGACAAATGTCCCGTGGTCTCCCATGGTGTCCCGTGGTGTCCCGTGGTGTCCCGTTGAGTGAGTTCGATAGTGAGATCGATCGAGCCAGATGTTGGTTCCCCCCCTCTCCCCCCCAACCTCCGAATCACCCGAAGGGTGGTCTTATAGGTAGGACTATGGGGCTATAGGGCTATAGGGCTATAGGAATGTAGAGCTGTAGGGCTATAGGGCTATAGGGCTATAGGGCTATGGGGCTATAAGGCTATACGGCTATAAGGCTATAGGGCTATAGGGCTCTAGGGATATAGGGATATAGGGCTACAGGGCTATAGGGCTATTGGGCTGTTGGGCTATAGGGCTATAGGGCTATAGGGCTGTGGGGCTATAGGGCCAAACGGGCTATAAGGCTATGGGGCTATAGGGCCATCGTGGTATAGGGCTATAGGGCTATAGGGCTATACGGCTATAGGGCTATATGGGGGCTATAGGGCGATAGGGTTATAGGGCTATGAGGCTATAAGGCTACAGGGCCACAGGGCTACAGGGCTGTAGGGTTATCGGGCTATAGGGCTATAGGGCTATGGGGCTACAGGGCTATAGGGCCATAGGGCTATAGGCCGATAGGGCTATGGGGCTAAAAGGCACCCAGGCACCCTGGCGCCCGGGCACCTGGGCACCCGGGCACCTGGACACCCGGGCACCCGGGCACCGGGACACCCAGACACCCAGGCACCCGGGCACCCAGGCGGGCCGCGGAAATCGGTGGCAAATCGCACCTAACCATATGAATGCGCTGCGACCCCTACAAAGGCAAGCTCTGATTTGGGAATGAGTGAGGGGGCCGAACGGTCACTCAATGTCTCTGGATGCGTGGCTGAAGTGGGCTTCCGCGGCACGGATTGTTGTTTTTTTTGCTGCTGCTTGTTGTTTGTTGTCATCGTCCCGCCCGCGACCCAGCCCGCGACACGCCCGCGACCCACCCGCGACCAATCCGAGACCCACCCGCGACCCACCGCGCGTCCCACCGTGCAACCCGCCCGAGACCACCCGCCCGCGACCCGCGACCCCCCGCGCGACCCACCCGCGACCCACCAGCGACCCAGCCGCGACCCACCAGCGACCCCCACGCGACCCGCCCTCCCGCGCAACTGTGGGGTACTACATGTATGTTTCACCACGTCACTTCCACCGTACGGTTTGCACCACACTGCGTCCACCGCTGAACTTGCACTTCTACCGTGCACGAACTCGCCGATTGGCGCCCACGCTGGCAAGCACCGCTTGCTTACCATGGCGGCCAGTAACCGTACGTGAAAATGTTGATAAGAACGCCGTGAAATGTTCCAACCTCGGCCACGGCGCGCGCGGGTCGTCTCCTCCGGCGGGTCGCAGTGGTCCTCCAGGATGAGGCGGAAATCGCTCACGCGCCTCGCGCCCAGGACCTCGCGCGGAGGGCGCTCGGGCGGCGCGGGCGCAGCCCGGGGGCTCGAGTCGATCGATCGATCGATCTTCACCAGAACGATCGGTGTCTGCTGAGGGCGAACATCCTTTTCTGTCCTGACATCTTCCCCTCGTCCCCTATTCTCCATTCCCCCTCCCCCACTCCCCCCCTGCCATCTCCTCGATCATTCAACCTCCGCCTTCTTCAACTCATGTTAGCATCCGCCTCTCCCTCTCCCATCACCATTCCCCCCTCTCTCTCACGCTATCCTCTCTGCCCCATAGCACTCCTTCCAACAAGGCCCTGGAAGCTCCCATCAGGGATCAGCCCCCCGAAAGGAACCTCTGACGCGACCAGAAAGGATTCATCCGCAAGCAAAACCGTCGCCTTCGGCGAGTCCCACGAGCCCTCTGGGCGTAGGTGGTCTAGGGAGGCTCCTCTTCCAAGCCCCTTCTTCCACTTCGGGGAGGGGTTCATCACTGTTCCCTACTAGTATGTTCCCTATGAATTTATACACCCCCTTCCACCAGGCGATCAGCAGCCAACCAGAAACAATGAGGACACCATGATGTCACACACACACACACACCAACCGTCCCTGTCAAGAATCAATACGGACACACACACACATATATATATATACATATATATACGTTGCTTCCAATTCGGAGCATGCGCAACCAACCCGGTACGCCGCCCCCCCACCATCCCTGTCAAAATACAATACAAAATACGCTTTGGGGCAAAGACTGGAGGTGTGTTCGTGAGGCCCGCGGGAACTTCGTGTTGTTTGCTGACAGGGACGGCGGGGGTGACAGCATATTGCCTGCTGCGCGCAGGGCTACCATCCCTGGCAACGAACAATACAGCATGCACCTCGCGGCTAAATCTGGATCATGCGCGGCCACCCCGCGATCACTGCTAAGTGGTTTTTGACAGGGACGGCAGGGTTGGTGGCGCGTGGCCTGCTGTGCGCAGGCCTATCAGACACAATGATGGTCATTGGTTTTCGACAAGGATGGCGGGGGCCGACATGTTGCCCGATGTGTTGCTGTCACGTGCGCAGGCGCCCCTGACGCACTATGCACGTGCCCCGAACGTGGCGCACCTGGCGCGGCTGGAGTCTGCGGCACACCGGGCGCACTCGGAACACGTGGCGCATCTGGCGCACCGTGCATGCCTGGGACGCTCGGGCCCCAGGGGTGCCTGGCGCGCGTGGCGCCCATGGCACGCGTGGCGCACCTCGCCCAAGGGTCGCTCACATGGGTCGGCTTCTGTTCCCACTAGTTGCCCATCCAAAGACAACCGCTGAACATGCTCAGGCTCGGGTGCTGCTTATGTGTTGGGAGGACGGATGGGAGTGAGCTAGACGGCTTGCGGGCGGGTGGATAGCTTGACCCCTCACCCTACCCCCTCCCCTGGACCTGGAGGGGGGGTTCGCGAGCGGTCAGAGCGTCCAAGATGGCTCAAGACGGCTCTGATGGGGGCCTCATAGAGCCCACAGATGACCTCCAAGATGGCTCACGATACCCCAGAATTCATCAAAGTTGCTCCCAAGATGCTCCAAGAGGTCACAAGACCGTTCCAAGACTGTCCAAGTAGTCACGGAGCCTCCCCAGGAGGCAGCCAAGAGGCCCAAACCCTTTCAAAAACCATGGGACAAATCAGTGTTGCCGTCTCGCCTGGTTGCTTCCGATGGCCTTCCGAGGCCTCAAGACAGCTCCAAGAGAGCTCCTGAGGGCCCCAAGAGAGGCCCAAGAGAGCCCCAAGACGGCCCCGAGAGCGCCCAAGACAGCCCCAAGAGCGTTCCAAGAGAGGTCCAAGAGACGATTCGAGGCACTCTAGAAGGGCAAGGCGAATGGAAGCTCCTCCCGTCTTTAACCGATGTCCTCCAAGATGGCTCCAAGAGCCCCCCCAACTCTCCCTAGAGCGCCCCAAGCGGGCCCAAAGAGGCGCCAAGAGGCGCCCAAGAGGCTCCCAAGAGACCCCCAAGAGGCTCCCGAGGTACGCACGAGGCCCCCAAGACGCCCAAAGAAACCCCCAGGCTCGCCATTGATTTCCTCCCCCTACGCTTCGTTTCCCTCCTCCTCATCCGCCCACTTCTCCCCCTCCCTGTCCTGCTCGTCCTCCTCCTCTTCCTCCCTCCTCCTCCTCCTCCTCCTCCTCCTCCTCATCATCATCCTCGTCGTCCTGCTCCCCCATCATCCCCCGCGTCCTTTTGCCCCGCCGTTCCTCATTCGGCAGGTCCGCAAAAGGCGCATACGGTTCGCTCCTGGGTAGGCGCAGGCGAATCCAAGACTTCAGTTCGACGGCTTCCCCAGCTCTTGATCCACTGCATGCTGAACCGCTTCCCTGATCAACGCAACTCGCCTGGGCATCGTTTGTGGATTGGCTGGTGGGGATACTTTTCCCGTCGCAGCCGCGGGCGAATGCGCCAGCGGCGAGTCAAGTCAGCTCGGGCTACGAGCGGAACTGATTGCCGGGGCGCGCGCGGAGTTAAACAGGTCCTACCGCCTGGGGGGCGGCTGCGCCAGGGTTGTTTGGTGGGGATACTTTTTTGGTCGCGCAAGCGAGAGCGCAGGCGGCGAGCAAGGTGTCCGGGCCAACGGGCAAGCCGAATTAGCTGCAAAGCGCAGCGCGACCCGGCCGGGCCAGCCTCAGAGGCAGCAGCTGCGGCATCGGCGGCGGGGGGCTGACTGGCTGAACTGCGACGCCCAGGGAAGCTCGAGCATCATGCATACCTTTGGCAAACTGCCAGGGAATTCGCAAATGTGCGTCGCGGCGCCAGTTCACCACGGAGTAGGTGCCATGACGAGAAAGACAGAGAGTGTCTTACACGCACAATCCGCACAAACACGGTTGCGAGAAAAAACCAGGTACGCACTGGTCATGTCGCCAGAGGGCGCCAAGGGCCAGGGCCGTGCCGACGGCGTAAACCTGCTTGGTTGGCTGGGATGGGTCGAGGATGGGTCGAGGATGGAAGCACAGCGTCCGCCGGCCGTGTCCTGCGGTGGACGCCAGTCCCGGACCAGTAGCAGCGAGCCGGCTCGGAAGGCGGTGGCACCTGCGGGGCCGGCCCATGATCGCGACGTGAGCGTCGTAGGGAAACCGCGTATTGCGCAGAGAGGAAGCCTGACTGGCGGGGATGGACGTCGCCAGCGCGGCCCGATGAGTAGGCACCAGCTGGTGGGGGTACTTTTTTGGTCGCGGCCGCGAGACAATCATCAGGCGGCGAAGGCAGCGCCCGGGCCACGGGCGAAGCTAATCGGCTACAGCAAAGGCGCCAGCCGGCCCCCTCAGACGGCAGCTGCAGGCTGGGTGACGCTGAACTGGCTGGCGCACTGCAAGCTCGGGCACGCGCACTGGACAAAATGACCAGAATTCAAATGGCCAACGCAGGACTCGCGCAGGACTCGCGGACCTCAGTGGGCAGGTCACTGTGCAAGGCGAGGGGGGGTGGCCACAGGGGTGAGTCGCCGATGTGGCGCCAGACTCCAAACGGACGACCTGCGTAAGTCAAGCCGGCTGAGCAGTCGTGAACCGTGGTGCAGCGCACTGGGGGGTTGGAAGGTGGGCCTGACAGGCTGCCATGATGCTGAAGGCTGAACCTCTCAGCGCGCTGGCCAGTCCCACTTGGACCGCATCACAGTGTCGGGGGGTACCGTGCGACTGCGACCCATCCAGCGCGCGCCGGCACGGCGCGGCCACGGGGGGCCCGCCGGCGAGGTGAGCATCGCCAGCGAGGAAAGAGATGGAGTGCACTGGAAGGGAGGCACCGCGATGCGAGCCGGACCCAGTCAGAGGGTCTCCGGGAGCACGCGTTGAGCAATACCTCGAGGGGCGCGCGGCGCTGGCACGGGCGATGCGGTGTAGTCGCAAAGCGGTGTGCTGGGGGGGCTGCATAATGAGAAGCAGGAGGGCCGCCAGCTGCCCGTCCGGCCACGCCCGCCGCAGGCGCATGCCACCCGGGCCCTGGGCCCGCCACCGTGAGCCACGCGGCCCTCCAGGGCCGCGCCGAGACGCCGCAGGGGGGGGAACCAGCCCCAAACAGCGATGGGCGAGGGTGGCCCTGGGAGGGGGGCGCCACCCACAACGTCTTGCCAGAACGTCGGTGGCTCCCGTATCCCAGAGCGGGGGGCGCCCGTCAGGCTCCAGCAGAGGGAGGCGGGGGGAAAGCCGCCTCTCCCCTTGCTCAGGTCTCCTCGCACTTGGGATGGGAGAAGTGGTTGGTCCAGGGGGTCGCAGCTGATCGCCGCTCAGGTCCGCAAAGATGGGTGCGTCCTTGAAAGTTGATCCTCGGGGGTCGCAGCTGATCGCCGCTAGAGCCGACGCTGCCAAAACTGCGACCTGCGCAGGTCGATCCGCAGGCGCATGGGGGGGGTGTTCTCGCGGCCGTCCCCCCGCCACCAGCGGATGGGTGGCTGTCGTCGTCGGACAGCAAAGTGGGTCCGCCCGGGACCTGTCTGTCCTGTGGGCGGTCCCCCTGTCGCTCAGGGGGGTGAGATGTCGGGGGCTGGGGGGGGGGGGGGGGGGGGGCGCTGGGCCCGACAAGGGGGGGTCGGTCCACTTGTCCAGCGCGGGCTGCCTAGCCATGCTGCGCCGTGGGTGAGATGTAGGGCAACCTGCGCCCCAGCGGAGGTCGCCCCTAGGCATTGCGGCCTGAGCCGGGCGCGGCCAGGTGAAACTGGCCCCTTCGGGGCACGAAGAGCGGGAAGGGAGGGGCAGAGTACGTCGGCCAGGAGCGCCAGAGGTGCTGAGGCGGGTCAGCCCGGCACTGTCAGCCCTGGGTGTAGGAGGTCGCCCCTTGCCCACCGGCGGGCGCGCTTGTCCGTGTACCGGTCACCCCCCCTTAGGGAGCACAGCTTGCCCTGTCCCTTCCAATCCGAGTCCGTCCATGGGGCTTCGCGCCGATCCCACGAGCTCCATTCCTCCCAGTCCTGCCACTGGCTGGGGGTGGCTGCCCCGATGGCACCGGCCCAGCGGTCCTGCGTGGCCGCGGTC